TTAGCAAAAGTTTTTTATTTTTATTTTTTCTAAGTTTTTAAAGTTGTAAAATAATTGCAGAGGGCTGGGGAGACAGCTCAACAGTCTTAAGTACCTGACTTGCAAGCACAAGGTCCCAAATTCAATCCCTGGTACCCACATGCTGAGCCGGCCCAGAACACCAGCGTAGTGGCGCATACCCATAATCACAGAGCTGGGGAGACTGAGACAAGAGGGACACTCTGAGCCCGAACTGTGTAGTGAGACCAGTTTGTGGAGGTTTCAGTCCATAATCAGCTCCAGCACAGGGTGGCGCATGGCAGAGGGTGGCAGTTCATGGTGTTGGGAGACAGCAAAAGAGCAACAGTAAAAAGGCAGGAGCAGCAACAGCAGAAACCAAAGCATCGGCAAAAGTTTTTTTAAAAAGTTGTAAACAAGGGCTGGGGAGATGACTCAGTAGAATAAGTGCTTGCCTGGCAAGTGCAAGGGCCCGAGTTCAATCCCCAGTTCTGCAAAAAAAAAAAAAAAAAAAGCTGTGAACATTTAAAAAGTACAAAGACTAATAGTATTATAATATTTGCATTACTTTTCTTTTTGTTTCATTTATTTATTTAGCAGAGCCAGGGATTGAACTCGGGCCCTTGCGCTTGCCAGGGAAGTGCTTATTTCACTGAGCCATCTCCCCGGCCCCTTTGTTTCATATTTTACTAAAGAGAAATAAAACAATACAGATAAGCTACTGTCTTCTCTCTTCCCTTGTACTCAGAGTCCAGAGCACTATTACCTGTGGAACCTCACAGCTTTCTTCACCCTTTTCAGTTTCATTCCCTTCCTTCTCTGAGGAGCTTCCCTCCATTCTAATTTTTTTTTTAATGTATTTAGTACAGAGTCTACAAGATTTACAGGGTCTCACTACACAGATCGGACTCTAGTGATCCTTCCTGTTTTTCAACCTCCCAAACTCTGGGATTACAGGTACGTGCCACTACACCTAGTCTTAGTAGCCCATGTCAGCCGCCCCAGGGGCCGGGCTGGCACAGCACACCAGGGATTGAACCCTAGTCCCTGTGCTCTGCCTAAGCAGGTCTAATTTGTATATGTCTTTATTTCATCTTTAAGCTTAGCTGCTTTAAAGGGTAGGTAGGGGCCTGCCAAATAGCTCAGTAGACTAAAGCTCCTGCATACACAGGTACAGGGACGGGGATTCAATCCTGGGCCGTGATGGCCCTGCCCCTGGGTTGTACTGAGATGAGCGCTAAGACTGGGCGTGGTGCTGTGTGTTTGTAATCCCAGCAATTCGTGTAGTGAGACCCTGTAGTCTCTGTACTAAAATACATTATAATAATAATAATAAAGGATAGGTAGTACATGCACATGTTACAAAGTTCCAAAGGAACACAATAGGCAGGTGAACTAAACATTTATAATCCCAGCATTGGGGAGGCTGAGGCAGGAGGATTGCCACAAGTTGAGGCAAGCCTGGAATACCTAGTGAATTCAAGACCAATCTGAACTATGTGGTGAGACCATGTCTTAGGGGGGAAAAAATTCAAAAGGAACAGAAATTCTACTTCTGCTTCTTACTATTAATTTTTCTTCTGCAGGGCAACCACAACCACTGGTTTTTGTTTGTGTTTTTAGGGCTATCTGACATGGGTCCAGATGAAGATGTGCCCTTAGTCTCTCCACCACCCCCAACGGGCTGTGGTGTTGGTACTGTTCACCTAACTGTTCACTTAACAGTGCATATGGAGCATCATACCATTTCAGTGCTAAATAGTGTTCTAGTATATTGTGTGTTGTGGGTGAGGGTTGGGGCTGGATGGGAACCGGGGGCCGTGTGCCAGCTAAGCCCTTGCTCCCTACTGAGCTACACCTCTACCCCTGAGGTGTGTTATTTATTTAGCTGGCCTCTTATGATGGATATAGATTCAAGCTGTTTCTACTCTTTTGTTATTACAAGCATTGCTGCAGTGAGTAATTTTACATGTGTTTTGGGGGAACAAGTGAAGTAGAATTGCTAGTATAAAATTTTGTTAAGCCAGATGGTCTCCACAGGGCTTTATTAATTTCTATGCCTAGCAGCAATATATAAAATCGCCAGTCCTCCCCCCATATTCCTCACAAGGCAGTATTTCAAATGTTTTAATACTTCTCTGTCTATAAAGGTTAAAGAGTTCTATCTTATGGCTTTATTTTGCCTTCATTTTATTAAAAGCGAGGTTGATGTCTGTTTTTAAAGGCCCTCTATTGTTTTCTCTGTGGCTGTTTGTCTTTTGCCATGTAACTATAGGATTATGCATTTCTTACTGATTTGAAATAGTTTTATGTGTATAAAGTGATTAGCGCTTTGCTGTGTCCTAGAAATACGTCTCTCAGAGTCTTGCTGCTATAATGATTGATCTGATTTATTGTACCCTACAGAACTTACCTAGTTTTCTGAAATCTTCAAACTTATTTCATGGCTCCTGGGTTTTGTGTCCTGCTTCCAAAGCCCCTCCTCAGTTCAAGGTTTAGAAAACCATTTTCCATCTTTTCTCCTACTACTATAAGCTTATTTTTTATCCATCAGAAAATGTCTATTATGGAAAAAGTGGAAGAGCCCTGCTTAATTTTCTATAGATACTGCCCTTTAAGATTAATAAACCAGAGCCAAGGATATAGCTCAGTGACACAAGCACCTGCCTGGCAAGCACAAGGTCCTGAGTTTGAGTCCTGGTACCAAGGGGAAAAAAAAAGATTACTAAACCACCTTTCTCATGAAGAGTTTGTTTTTAAAATATTAAACAATATTTTAGATGAAGAAAAATGAGAAAAACAAATCACAAAATTCAGCAAAACAACACACTTTCATTAATTGATGCTCTCAAGAATATATTTTACCCAACAGCCCTCCCACACACTTAAATATATTTTAAAATAAACATTCAGGAAAATTGACCTTGTCCTTGTTGCCTAGTTCTGGGTCTGGACAAATAAATGCACAGTGTAGGAATAGCCACCATACCGGAGAGAACAGCCCAGTCGCCTTTCCGTACAGATGGTGACTTGCAGTGGTTCACCTTACAGCTTTTCATTTCGAAGTGATGCCCAGGAAACACACGCTTAGTAGAAATTGCGCCTCATGTTTTGAATTTGGATGTTTTCCCGGGTCACTGATATTCCATCCAGTCCTCTCTCCAGGTGTGGGGCAGCGAGCCAGGTGATCACAAGGGACACTGGCTGGCACCCGACTGTGTGCTGTTGCTGTGCTGCTGAACTGGGCTGTCAGCAGTTGAAGTGTTTTTTTCCAGCATTGAATGCATTTTCCCTTCAACAGTGGGTCAGGGGGGATGTAGCCCACTCAAGCCAAGGAACATCTGGCTTTGCCCTGCACGCTGCAAGCACAACCTCACCTACCACACACTCCATAGCCACTACTCTGTTTACGACCCACATCCACCCACTTCCCATTCCTGGGAATGGTCCTAGGTGCTAAAGGCTCCCCAGGAGACCCTGATTGGAGCCAGACGGGAGCAAATTCCCAAGGGCATTGCTTCATAAGTGGCAGGAACTTGCTTCACCCCTGGGAGGATTCTCAAGAGCCCTGAGCAGCAGGGGCCTCAGGTCAGACTAGCAATGGTGACAGCTTTGCCGTGCCGCAGGTACCTGCTGAGCTCCACACAACAGTTGCACGGGGTGAGTCTGTCATCCCTTTGAGACTGAAGCTAAAGACTGCGTACTTGTGTATTGTGAGATACACAGTCTGGGGATGGTGCAGGCAAAACTTGGGGTCCCCACAGGCTAATTGCATTTTAGTCTGATTCTCTTGCCTCCCTCCTCAAGTGGGGGCGGGTAACCTGCCTCCACCACCCCATCCTGCAATGTGTGATCATCAACCACACTGGCTCATATCCTCAGAAGATTCATAGTGTGATTCCTCGCTTGGTATATAGATAACCCTAAACCGGGGGTGATTTGATAGAGGGCACAGGGCAGAGCAAGCCCAGCTTCTGGGAAGGGCAGGGGAGACCTTGGGAGGGTGGGGGGATGCCTGAGACCTCTGTTTTTGTCTGCTGATGATATCTTTCCTCCCTCTGTGCTGGATAGAGCCTCCTCTGTTTCTCTCCATCTGATCTCCTGTTTCCTCCTCTGGCTCTGGAGGTCCTGGCTCTTCTGACTACCTCTTCTTAAGTCTCCACCTCTCTCCTCTCTCACCTCAGCTTGGTAAGGAAACAAGGGTTGTGGGGACTTCACAAGGGGGAGCATCTCCCCATTCTGGTGAATGGGCTGTGGGAGGGTGGGCTTATACAAGAGACCCACAGTGGTCTTTAAGTAGCCGAAAAGCATGGTGGTGCAGGCCTATAATCCCAGCACTGTGGGAAACCAAGGCAGGAGAATGGCAGGATCAAGCCCAGCCTGGGAAACTTAAGTCAGCATGACCCTGTCTTCAACTAAGACAATAAAAAGGGCTGGTGATGCTGCTCCATGTGAAGGCCCCGGGCTTCTCAACCAGGGGCACTACCACTGCCTAGCTGGGAATTTGGAAATGGTAGGTGTTTTTGGAAACTTTAGTTGAATTATAGTGTACATACAGAAGAGTGCATAGATATAAGCCTGATTTTCACAAAATAAGTACATACCTATACTCATGTAACCAGCTCCAGGTAAAGAAATTCAGCACTTTACCTTCCTAGAAGAGCCTCTCAGGCCCTGTTCTGGTTGTCACCCCTGGAGGGCATGAATTGGGGGGCAGCAGGCATTTGTTGTAGTTGTCAGAGATCGAAGGGTTCTGCTGGCATTTACACGCAGGGACTTTGGATGCTAGATGTCCTCTGAGGCATGGGCAGCCCTGCAACATGAAGAATTGTCCTGCCCAGGTGTCCTGTTGAGAAACACTGCCTGAGAGCACATTGCCTGATGGTTCTAGCAGTGATGTCCTGTGGTAGGGCAGAGGCCCACAGTCAAAGGGTGCAGCTGTGCAGGTGAGTCAGAGCACGGAGGGGTTGTCCCACAGTGCGCCCCACTGTTACCATCCCCAGGCCTCCGGAATGCTCCCCGCTGCTGGGCAGTGATCCAGCCCCTGCTATGTGCCGTGTACATGCCCAAGTGTGAGAATGACCGGGTGGAGCTGCCCAGCCGAACCCTCTGCCAGGCCACCAGAGGTCCCTGTGCCATTGTGGAGCGGGAGCGAGGCTGGCCTGACTTCCTGCGCTGTACCCCCGACCACTTCCCTGAAGGCTGCCCGGTGAGTTCTCTGGGGTAGGACCTGGGCTGTCTGTCCTGCAGTGTGGCAGTGTCCAGCAGGATGCAGGGGGGATCTTGTGTCTACAACACTGGGATCCACAGAGTACAAATCCAAACTCGGCTCACGAGCCAGACCAATCTATCCAGGTGTTTCTCTTTGATCCTAGATAACATGTTTAGCAGTAAGGCATGGTGTACACCTGTAATCCCAACACTCATGAGACTGAGGCAGGAGGATTACCCCAAGTGCAAGGCCAGTTTGGCCTAGTAGTGAGTTCAAGGCTAGCCCGAACTGTATATTAAGACCCTATCTCACAAAATACAGAAGCAAAAACAAAACAAAAAACCAAGATAACATGTTCCCTACTCTGGCAGATGTTGGAATCATACAAAAGTCATAGGTAACAAAAGGCTGTCCTCAGGGAGTTTATCATATGTGTAAGGGTCAAAATGTACACACCTTATTTCAGTTACCATCTACATAGAATTTGACAAAAAATGTTATGACTGAAAGGTTTTCAAGTCCTAATTAAAACATGAGGGGCTGGGGAGACAGCTCAGTAGAATAAGTGCTTGCGTGGAAAGCACAAGGTCCTGAGTTTGATCCCTGGTACCGCAAAGAAAAAAAAAAAAAAAAAATTATTTATGACAATATCCATAATCAGCCTGAGTGTCTGGAATTTCTTTTAGACTTTTGTATGTGCAACAGCTTATATGCTTGAAATTACTTGAAGGCACCTCTTTTAAGAAAGCTTACAAAGGGCCAGCAAGATAGCTCAGCAAACTAAGCATCTGCTTAGGCAAGTGCAGAGACCAGGGTTTGATCCCTGGCACCACGTCCTGCCAGCCCCATCCCCAGGTGTACTGAGCCTGCTACCTAGACAGGGCATGGTGGCCCACGCCTGTAATCCCAGTGCTGAGGAGGCTGGAAACAGGATCACTACAAGTCCAAGCTGCATAGTGAGACTGTGTACCAAATACATAAAAAAAAAAGAAAGAAAGAAAGAAAGCTTACAGTTGGGCCCTCTACCGTCTCAAATACTCTGTAACTCCTCTTGGAGTTTTTTTTTTATTGTATTTTTTGCAGAACCAGGGATTGAACTAGACCCTTGCACTTGCCAGGCAAGCGCTTATTCTCCTAAGCCATCCCCCTGGCCCAATTTTTTATAATTATAATTTTTGCCATAATTATAATAAAAGGATAGTTGAATAAATAGCTTCACCATTCTTTGCTGTGGCACAGCTTAAATTCTCTCTCACTCTCTCCATCTTTTTTATTTATTTATTTTTTTTGCGGAATCGGGAATTGAACTCAGACACTTGGGCTTGCTAGACAAGTGCTTATTCTACTGACCCATCTCCCCTGCCCCCTCTCTCCATCTTTTTGACACAGGGTCTTGCTATGCAGTTCAGGCTGGCCTTTAGCTCACTTTGTAGCCCAGGTGGATCTTGAACTCACAATGATCCTCCTGCCTCAGCCTCCTGAGTGCTGGGATTACAGGTGTGTGCCACCATGCCTGGCTTCTCTTTTCTTTTTATTTATTTATTTATTTATTTATTGGCAGAACCGGGGATTGAATTCAGATCCTTAAGTTTGCCAGTCAAGCGCTTATCCTACTGAGCCATCTCCCCGGCCCCTTCTTTTTAATTTTTTTTAAAAAAATTATTTATTCATTTGGTACAGGGTCTTGCTACACAGTTCAGACTCATAGTGATCCTCCTGCCTTAGCTCCCCAGCACTGGGATTTCTTAGTTTCAGTGGCTGACATTGCATACCCAGGGTTCCGGGGCCAGCATGGCATGCAGTACCAAAGATTGAACCCAGGTCCTTGCACTTTCCAGGCAGACACTTAGACCACTGAGCTGTCTCCCCAGCCTCTTTTTGACCAGGTTTTTATGCTTTTATCTGGCAATCTGACCAGCTAATCTGAACACAATATGCAATAGAACAACCATTGTTGAATTCCTATCATTTTGTTTAGTGAAATTCTGTATCATTCCTGATGGCTTTTTTTTTTTTGGCGGAACCGGGAATTGAACTCAGGCCCTTGCGCTTGCCAGGGAAGCACTTATTCCACTGAGCCATCTCCCCGGCCCCGGTGATGGCTTTTTTAAATACTATTTCTTGGGGCTGGTTGGATGGCTCAGTGGTCTAAAGCACCTACTTAGAACAAGCTTAGCAAAACACAGGGACCGCGGTTCAATCCCCCAGCACCACGTGCCAGCCCCCCCCCCCATGGGCTGAGCTGGACACACACACACACACACACACACACACACAAATAAAAAATAAATTTTTAAAATACTATTTCTTGTTCTTTTTTTTTTAAAGAAAAGATAGACCCCCCCCAAAAAAAAACCTTAAGTGGAGTTTACCTGTAGCATCAATTGCTTTAGTTTTAATAAATAAAAGCAAGATACAAGTTAAATGTTTAATTCTAGAAAATTTGCACAATATGTTCGTAACTATGGCTGTTGTTAACACAGTGCCCCATTTACCTTTCAGTACTGTTCATGCCTGCATGCAGATAGAAGGGGTGGAACTGTGCGCCCAGGCAGGGACTTTAACTGTAGAGTTTGGCAGGGTTGCCTTCTATCTGCCAGTTCAAACTGTTGAATTTGTTTTCACATAGAATATATACACTGTTAACAGCCTGCTCTGGTTCAGCCTCTTTGGATATTCTTGTGCAGCAGTGGCTCCATGTGTAAATGTTATTCACCGAGGATACACATGCACATACACACGCACAAAAATGATGCGTATAGGATAATGCCTCATACCAATCAGATGTCCATTTGTTACTGTGTTTGTTGACCCTTTATCTCTTAGTGTTATCAACAGCACTTAAAACTGATGAAATTCTCTTTCTTGTTTAAAAAAAAAGGGGGGGAGCTGGGGAGATGGCTCAGTAAAATAAGCACTTCCCTGGCAAGCGCAAGGGCCTGAGTTCAATCCCCAGTTCTAACCCCCCCCAAAAAAAAAGAAAGAAAGAAAGATACATATTATAGGTAAAAATGCCAAGATGGGAATGACTCTAGCCTGGGTGAGAAAGGAGAGATCTGAAATGGTAATGACAGTAATAATACCCATTGCTTTCATTCATTATGTATGCCAGATACCATTAAAGTACTTTACATGTATGTATTCCCTTAACTCTCACATCCTACTATAAGATGCTGCTGTCTCAGAGCTCGGGAAAAGGGCCCAGAGAGGCCCAGAGAGCCCAAGGTAGCACAGCTGTTGAGTGGCAAGGTTGGAATTGGAATCCTGGAATCCTGCCTTAGCCACCCTGTGTGCTGCCTCCAGGGCCATGTCTTCAGCTCAAGGCTCACCCTGAGCTGCCTCTGTCCTTGCCAGAATGAGGTGCAGAACATCAAGTTCAACAGCTCGGGCCAGTGTGAGGCACCCTTGGTACGGACTGACAACCCCAAGAGCTGGTATGAGGATGTGGAGGGCTGTGGGATCCAGTGCCAGAACCCGCTGTTCACAGAGGCGGAGCACCAGGACATGCACAGCTACATCGCCACCTTCGGTGCTGTCACCGGGCTGTGCACACTCTTCACCCTGGTCAGTGGTGGGGAGGATGGGCTGCCATGTGCTGGGCTCCAGAAGGGACAGACTCGATGGGGTCCCAGGGAGGGGCCTGGGGTTCAGGTAAAGGTCCTGGGATGGAGGGGGGCAGTAGCAGAGTGACCCTCGCCTTGCAGAGCTGCCGTTTGTCTCTCCAGGCCACCTTCGTGGCTGACTGGCGGAACTCCAATCGCTACCCCGCGGTGATCCTCTTCTACGTCAATGCGTGTTTCTTTGTGGGCAGCATTGGCTGGCTGGCCCAGTTCATGGATGGTGCCCGCCGGGAGATCGTCTGCCGAGCTGATGGCACCATGAGGCTTGGGGAGCCCACGTAAGTGTCTTGGGGACCCAGAAGAAGGGGAGGTGAGCTGTGCACTCCACAAAAAGGATGGGCTTTGGAAGTGTAAGAGCTTGGTTGGTGGCATTTATCAAGGGGTTGTCTCCTGGAGCCACGTTGTCTGACCTAGGCACTGTCTCCAAGCCCAAATTCTTGGGGAACCCTCCAGACCTTAGCAGCGCAAGGCCTGGAGACAGGGTGGTGAAACCTGATAGAGGGAGCACAGAGTGACCCCACATGTCTGCACAGCTCCAACGAGACCCTGTCCTGTGTCATCATCTTTGTCATCGTATACTATGCCCTGATGGCTGGCGTGGTCTGGTTTGTGGTCCTCACCTACGCCTGGCATACCTCCTTCAAAGCCCTGGGCACCACCTACCAGCCCCTCTCGGGCAAGACCTCCTACTTCCACCTGCTCACCTGGTCGCTTCCCTTCGTCCTCACTGTGGCAATCCTTGCTGTGGCCCAGGTACTGCGACTGTTATGGGGCTGGGGATGTGAGTAGGATGGGCTTGGAGGAGGTGACTGACTTCCTCCTGTGCTTTCCTGCCTCAGGTGGATGGGGACTCAGTGAGTGGCATCTGTTTTGTGGGCTATAAGAACTATCGATACCGTGCTGGCTTTGTACTGGCCCCGATAGGCCTGGTACTCATCGTGGGAGGCTACTTCCTCATCAGAGGTAAGTGTGGGCCAGGCCAGAGCTACGAGGAGGTAGGAGTGAAGGTGGTCAGCTCTGCTGCCTGCACAATTAGACTGCATTCAGCACATCCAGGGACTTGCAGAGTAGAACAGGTGACCTTTGAGGCCAGGGGTGAGGAACCTATGGTACAATAGCCTGCTATTTGTTTTCATTAAAAGCTCTAAAAGGTTCGCCATCACTGCTCTAGGCAGATGCAGGAGCATGAATTCTTGTTATGAGAGCCTGCCTTGAGCCCTCAGTAAATGTGAGATGCTTCGGAGGCTCTGGGCTTACTTGGAGAGAGACTAATCTCAGCGAGACCTCTAAAGCTCATCAGGTCTTCTCGTCGTTTCTTTCGTCACTGACCCATAACATACAACAGGATAGTACGTTTGTTGGCAAGAAGAGCATACTCCTTCCTCCAGAGGTTGGGGTTGGGTTCTAGCCACTATCCTCGCTTGGCAGGCTACAATTGTGTGATGGTAAACATCTGGGTGATCTACCCTGACTACATGGACAAACCTGTTCCACCTTTTGGAGCTTGTTTTCCATCTCCTTCATACTCACAACACACACAGAATAGTTTTCACAACGTTAACAGATGTACTGGTCCCTAACTTCCCGGTCCCAATCTGCTACTTCACGACAAGCCTTAGTATCGATCTCATCTTCTTTTTCTTTTTCTTTTGTTTTGTTTTAGTTTCCTCCAATGGAACTGTCAACTGTTCAACCTTTTTTATTCATTTTCTGGCAGTGTCTGGACCCCTAGTTTTCATTTTGTACCTCTGCTGTCATGTGTAGTAGCTGCTGCCCACATACATTGAAACTAGTGCAAATTGAGACATAAGTGTTAGATGCTGCCTTTCAAAGACTTAGCACCAAAATATAATGACAAATAAAAGATCTCATTAACAAGGAGATATTTATCGTTACTACATGGATTGTGTGTTGAATAATTATGCTTTAGATATATTAGGTTAATAAAACATGTTGAAATTAATTTCACTTTTCTTTTTTTTTTCATTTGCTTTTCTTAATGTTTCTACTAGAAAATTACAGATTATGTTTGAAGCTCACATTGTATTTCTGTTCGGCAGTGCTATTTGAGTCTGTGTTGTATGTTTTTTCTGTCAGTACAGCTTTGACTTGGCTGCCTTCCCCAGAGACAGCTGGGCCAGGACGGAGGCCTCCTTTCTGCCTCCTCCACTTGTGGCTCTGCCCCAGTCATCCCAGTCCAAGCAGAATTGGCACGAGCCTGTTCTATTCTCTGGCGTCTCTAGTACTCACGCTCTAAGTCAGTCCAGCCATGATTAAACCTAGGGTTGCAGGGCCATGGGACGCCCTCTCCCCATACATTGTTCCAACAAGCGTGGCCTCGCTTGCTGACACCTCAGGTTCCCCTTGTGTGCAGGAGTCATGACTCTCTTCTCCATCAAGAGCAACCACCCAGGACTGCTGAGTGAGAAGGCTGCCAGTAAAATCAATGAGACCATGCTGCGCCTGGGTGAGTGGTCCCCAGGAGCCTTGGTTCTGAGGTCCTGGTCAGCTTGGGGCTCTGAGACTTCCATGATTTGGTCATTTGTTGGGATGTGGCAGCGTGGGACAAGCACAAGTTCTATGTGTGTCAGTGGCTATGGTAGCAGCTCGAAAGAAGGGGCTTTCTCTTGTGAAGAATCTGGAACTGCTTCCCCAGGGCTCCTTCCCTTGCAGGGGCCTTCAAACAGCTGCTGCGGTGCCCTCTGGCTTTGTCCTGGAGGTGTTTTTTCGTTTCTTGTTTTCAGTCTTTTTGAGACAGAGTCTTTAGTTCAGGCTGGCCTTGAGCTCACTTTGTAGTCCAGGCAGGCTGGTCTCAAACTCCAAATGATCCTCCTGCCTCAGCCTCCCAAGTGCTGGGATTACAGGCTTGTACCACCATCCCCGGTGAGGATGCAGTTCTTGACCTGAGCCTCAGTATAAACTTAGCAGACTTGGCTGTCTTCAGGCCTCAGAGGGGCAGGGAGCAGGCACCCTCTCCCCGCCCACACAATGTCTGTGCTGGGCAACACCCCCATTACCCCTGTCTCCTACAGGCATTTTTGGCTTCCTGGCCTTTGGCTTTGTACTGATCACCTTCAGCTGCCATTTTTATGACTTCTTCAACCAGGCTGAGTGGGAGCGCAGCTTCCGGGACTATGTGCTGTGAGTGAAGGACCTGGGCTTGGGGGCAGCAGTGGTGGGAGCTGGAGCCCTGCTGAAGGGATGGCAGCCCCTCCCTTACGCACCAGTGGTCTGCCAGGCCCCTGCTCAGATGAGACCATTGGATCTGGGTGCCCATGATAGCAATGGCTCTGTGTTTGGCCAAACATGACGAACAGCCTTCACATCCCTCCTGAACTCTACATTCCACCTACACTTCGTTGGCCATCTGGCTGGCACCTTGGCCCCTATTAAGCCATTGCCTACTCTGGCACCTCTGACCAGCCCCAGAAGTTGGACTCTGTGTACCTTTGCAGAGCTCTGTGTAGAACCCTGCATCTCTACAATAACTTGACAACCTGTTCATGTTTGCTAGTTTTCCTGGTGCTTTTTTATGTTTCCATGAGGGTGAATTGGAGGGTGAAGCATCTCCACTGCCAAAAGAATTACAGCACCAGCTGTTATGGGGATAGCCGTTAAAATGACCAAGAGGGGCTGGTGAGATGGCTCAGTGGTCTAAAAAGCACCTACTTGGAATAAGCTAAGCTAAGCAAAGCACAGGGACCACGGTTCAATCCCCCAGCGCCACATGCCTGCCAGCCCCGCCCCCTGGTGGGCTGAGCTGGCTACACACACACACAAAATAAATAAATAAATATTAAAAAAAAAAAAATGACCAAGAAAGTAGATAGCGCTTGACTTCTTCAAGCTCATTGTCCCCCATCCCCATTTTAGTACTTGGGATTGAACCTTCACACTAAGCTACATGCACAGCCTGTTAAAATGTTTTATCTTGAGAGAGTCTAACTAAGACACTGAGTTTCCAAGGGCTCTAGTTATGATCCTCGTGCCTCAGAGTACTGGGATCCTCGTGTCATCCCAGAGTACTGGGATGACAGGCATGTACCACCAGGTCCAACTTGCTTCAGGCTCGATGCTAAAGGTGCCAGCTTTCAATCTGGGTGGCTTTAATCTACAGTAATACCTGGGTCCCTGCCCCAGAAGTGTAATTGTCTAGGGTGGGTCCAGACAGCAATAACTTGTCAAAGCTCCCAGGAGGTGACAAAGAGTACCTCAAGAGCCTGGGAATGTAGTGTAGTGGTAGAGGACTTGCCTAGCATACATGAGGCCCTGGTTCCATCCCAGCACCAAAACAAGGAAACAGTGCAGTGGGGCTCAGCTCTCCAGGCCTTGGATTGATAGTTTGGATACCTGATAGTTGGACGCAAAAGGCGTTACCCATTGATCCTCCCTCACCAAAGTTGCCAGGCTAATGTGACCATTGGGCTGCCCACCAAGAAGCCCATTCCTGACTGTGAGATCAAGAATCGCCCCAGCCTTCTAGTGGAGAAGATCAACCTGTTTGCCATGTTTGGGACCGGCATTGCCATGAGCACCTGGGTTTGGACTAAAGCCACTCTGCTCATCTGGAGGCGCACCTGGTGCAGGTAGGCTCAGTAGCCAGCTCATCCTACTGCTCCAGTCTTACCCTCTGAGGGCTGGAGGTACAGCTCAGCAGCACAGTGCCTGCCTGGCAAGCACAAGGTTGTGAGTTCAATTCATGATACTAAAAAACCAAATAAAGTAACTGCCAATCTTACTCTCAGCCTCAGCGCCCACCCCCAGCTCCCTTCAGGTTTTGCAGTCCTGTACATGGTCTGTGGCTGCAATTTTTCTGGTCTTCTCCCTGGCTCACCACTGCCCCCTGGTGACGCCTCCCGTACCTAGGCGGCCTGGGCCACTGCTACACTATAGGCATCTTGTGAGTGAGTGATTTGAGGGCAGGGTGCCCAGGAGCCCCACACCCCAGGCTCACTTCTTCACAGGACAAGCATGTACCCCTCAGAGTGCCCTGAGGGACCTGAGGCCTTGTGTTGCCTCTTTCCCTGGAGGGAATGGAATCACTGGTCTTTCATAAGACTTGACAGGAAACAGCTGCTCTTCCCCTTGGTGTCATCGCTCTTTCTGCTCTTAGACTGACTGGACAGAGTGATGATGAGCCGAAAAGGATCAAGAAGAGCAAGATGATTGCCAAGGCCTTCTCCAAGCGGCGTGAGCTGCTGCAGAACCCAGGCCAAGAGCTCTCATTCAGCATGCACACCGTCTCCCACGATGGGCCTGTGGGTGAGCCTCAGCCTTGCCCCCCTTCACAGACACTTGGCTCCTGCAGTGCCCAACCCTGTGCCTCATGGATTGTTCAAAAATTCTGCCTCAAATTCCACCTCGCCCTCGTACTCTCACTCTCCCCGAGGGTCCCCCCATCTGCTCTCCAGGGTCCCTGTCTCCCTCTGTTCCTATCCATGGGCCTACGTATTGGTGCTTAGTTCTGTGAGGTTTTGTCCCTCTCCTTTCCTCTGCCTTCCCCTTGGGTCAGCACAAGCCAGGGTTGAGGCTGCTCCTCTGAGATGCTGGGAGAGAGATCACTGTCTTTTAGAGAGGGAACTTTCTCTGCCAGGTGGCATGGGAGGGACCCGCTAGGGGAAGAGGAGTGGAGCTACGCAAGGGAGGAGTCACTGTCCTCAGGACTAGGAAGTCACTTTTCCTTCTTTTCTTCTATCCCCAAAGCGGGTTTGGCTTTTGACCTCAATGAGCCGTCTGCCGATGTCTCTTCTGCCTGGGCCCAGCATGTCACCAAGATGGTAGCTCGGAGAGGAGCCATACTGCCCCAGGATGTTTCTGTCACCCCTGTGGCAACTCCAGGTATAAGGGCTCTGTAGGAAGGTGGGGGTGCACAGGACTGGGCTCCCTGGGGCTGAAGTACCAGGGGCTGTGGGGTGGGGGAAGGGGGAATAAAAGGCTCTAGAGCAGTGTCTGAGATCCTACGTGCTGGAGGGGTGGCCTGTTAACACTGAGAGCTCCACAGGTTTGCCATCACTGCCCTAGAGGATCCAGTGTGTGGCTAAGGAGTCTATGGAGTGGTGGGTCTCACAGCCCAAGCATCGGGGCTCTGAAGAGGGAAGCATGGTGGAGACAGACCTGGGGGCCAATCTGTGTTCTCTCTCCTCTATCAGTGCCACCAGAAGAACAAGCCAACCTGTGGCTGGTTGAGGCAGAGATCTCCCCAGAACTGGAGAAGCGGCTGGGCCGGAAGAAGCGGAGGAAGAGGAAGAAGAAGAAGAGAAGCGGAGGAAGAGGAAGAAGAAGAAGAGAAGCGGAGGAAGAGGAAGAAGGAGGTGTGCCCCTTGGGCACGGCCCCTGATCTTCATCACACTGCCCCTGGCCCTCCTCCTGCCACCAGTAACGTTCCTCGGCTGCCTCAGCTGCCCCGACAGAAGTGCCTAGTGGCTGCAGGTGCCTGGGGATCTGGGGAACCCTGCTGCCAGGGAGCTTGGACCCTGGTCTCCAACCCCTTTTGCCCAGAGCCCAGTCCCCATCAGGATCCATTTCTCCCCAGTGCCCCGGTCCCTATGGCCTGGGCTCACAGCCGCCGCCAAGGTCTGGGCCCCATTCATTCTCGCACCAACCTGATGGAAGCTGAGCTCATGGATGCAGACTCAGATTTCTGAGCCTGCAGAGCAGGAAAGAGGAACAAAGACCGCCAAGGCTCTCCGAGGGTTTCTCTGGGATCTACTGCAGAATGTATCGGCCCTTACCTGAGAGTTCTGTGAATCTTGCTCAAAGCAGCAAGACTGTGGAAAACAGCTGAGTGTCTCCACAGATGACCTCACCCAGGGGTAGGGCCCTGGAGCTCAGAGTTTCATTTCTGCCCCACCAGCTGGAGTCTGGCTGGCAACATTTGATCTCCAGCAGAGCTTAAGGTGGGGCAATAACGGTGGAGCCTGGGGTGACCTAGAGTGGCCAAGGAGACAGCCAAGCCCATGTCTAGCAGGTGAGGGATACCTGTTATTGTGCCAGTGGGTACACTTTCCTGGCACTTGCAGACCAAAAGTGCTTATTGTGTCCTTTATCTAAAGTGGGGTATGTGGGGCCAGAAGTGCCTTTTCCTATGAAGGCTATACTCTATCTGAATAGGGCCCCTACCCCAAACCTGTCTTCTATTTCCCAGCATTCCCTTTCCTAACTATTGTTAATTGGGACCCACAACTGAAGTACACAGACACACATGTCCTTTGAGCTCTATCTCCGGGGAGAGATTGGTTCAGCTTCACAGCCTGGACCTGGCATGGCACAGAAGCAAGGTGAGACAGGTGCCTCCAGGCCCCTGAGAGACGCGTCATGCCTTCCTCATATCAATCCCCTGGGATTGGTCCCTTTGACTAGAGGGGTTAACCCTGGGAAACTACTGTAGCTTCAGCCAGGAAAAACTTTTGGCTTCTACAACAGCAGAAGAGGAGATTCCCACCTTTCCTGACCTCCCACCATGCCCCTAGCACCCCATGTACCAGACAGCAGCAAGTCTTTAAAGCTGGTTGGGTTCCACATCGGGACTAGGGATGGGAAGAAGAAATATAAACAGAAAATAAAAGGTTTTTGTATAAACTGGGTTGTGTTTCTTTTCCTTAACCTAGTCCCGCCCAAACAATTTACCCAGTTTTTTGTCTTCCACATCCTCTGGGGCTGTTCTCAAAGACTAAGAGCTTGATGCTGACAAGGTCAGGCTGACGTGGACTGAGTGTGTGTGTTGGTTCGATATGGACACAAGCTGCTTCATACTGCGCTGAGCACAGCCTGCAGTTTGCCCCTGGAGTGAGGATGGAAGCAAGTGTCTCCCTGGTACTCCCTGACCTGGGGCCTCATGCCTTCCACCAGGGATGCCTGTCAGCCAGGAGCATTCTGATGACAGATTCCGCCCCTGGCCAGTCAGGGAAATCAAAGTTAAGGGAAGTTTGCTAGCCTCACTGGGTTACAGGGACTCAGCATTATGTGGCAATGAGGTCTATGGAGGAAAGGGTAGGAACAACAGACTCCTAGGTCATTGTGGAGTGTTGGCCAGGCTTTTGGAGAGGACCCCTCTACTGCTGCTTGTCTTACAGAGACCTTTTGACAAGAGTCAGGCTCCAGGAGGAGAAAGGGCTCTACGAACATGCTGTTTCTATCCTTGGTGTTTTATGCATGCTTTACACTAATACTAGCTAATTCTTTGAATGTTAGGTACTCTCTTGACTACAGACATTAGCTGCCAACTCTCACAGCAAATCTATAAGACTCACACCCATTAAGACACTGAGGAACATTGCCAAGCATGGTGGTATCTGCATGTAATCCCAGCACTTGGGAAGCTGGTGCAGGAGGATTGCTGTGAGTTCAAGGCCAGCCTACATAGTGAACTGAGACCAGCCTGAACTGCATGGCGACTGTCTTACCCCAGCCTCAACAAAAGAGTAAAAGACTGAAGCACAGAGGGGTTCGGTAGTTTGCCCCAGACCCCACAGCAAAAGGTAATGCTGATTCAGTTAGAGCTCTTGGCTTCACTGCTCTCCTGGAGGCTAGTAAGGGGTAGGTGCTGAGTGCACAGGATCTTCCTGATTTGCTGAGTCCAGCTCTGTCCACCCCTCCCAGTTTTTTTTAATTTGGTGGTACGGGGGATTGAACTCGGGCCCTTGTGCTTGCCAGGCAATCGCTTGTTCTACTGAGCTATCTCCCTAGCCCCCACTCCCAGCCCAGATCTGATCTTCAAGTTTTGGCCCTATCCAGATTTCCCACTTTGTGTTCCCTCTGGCTATGCATATCCCCTTGTGCTTACTCCTCTTGTTCTCTGTTAGGGTTATTTTTCTCAAAAGCATGATAGCCATTTTATTTTAGCTTTTATCAACAACAGTAAAATAAAATTTATCAGTGTTGCCTACTGACCTTTTCACAAATAAGGAACAGTGATACGATATTCTTCATCCGCAAGGACATTCAACTACCAGTGTCTCCCTCTGTCCGTTCTCTAGGAGGTTTACTTGTGTAAAGCGTGGAGGACATCATCAGGTTTTATCTGGACCTTAAGCTTTCTCAGTACGAGCGCAGGAGCAGACCGTGACCACCAGAGGGCAGCCGCGCCCGCCTTTCATCAATGCAGGGAGCTGGCTGAACGAAGATGGACCTTGAGCAAGAAATCTTGCAGTTTTCAGAGGCGCCCCTGTATCTAAGGATTGAGCAACAGTGGGTCACTTTCTACCCACAACTTATCTAGATTCCTGAAAAAACCCCTCAGGGCCAAAAGGAACCTGTCTTGAGGCTTCCTTGTTGCCGATGCCCTGAGATTTTCTGCTCTGGCGGGCTCTGCCCTGAGGGGTGCCTTTGGGCCCCCTCTCGGGAGGGCGGCGCCCAGCTTTCGAGGTTCCCAGGCGGCCTCTGTTGGTTTCGGCTTCCTTAAAGCAGTGTGTACACTGCTCAGCCCTTTTCCTGCCGCCTTTGTTAAGCTAAGAAAATGGGGGGGAAATAGAGCAAAGCACAAAAAGCCAACCAAATGAACAGCCACATTCTCAACACTCAGAAGTGACTTTTTAAAAATCGTTTTATTAAATTTTCTTTCAGCCTACTTTTTAATGCAGTCAAGTGTAATCCCTTTTGACAACACCCCATCCTATACCTTCCCTCCCCCACTTTCCTGTTCCTTGAAAGCAAAACAACTGTTTTCTCATCTGTTTTTATACTTTCTTCTATGTATATGCAGTCATGAATTCCTATACAGTTTACATACTGCTTTTGATTTATTCATTTGCAGTAGTGAGGGTTGAACCCAGGGTTTCACACATGCGATGCAAGTGCTCTACCAATCAGTTGCGTCCTTGATCCTTTTTTTATTTACTTTGACAGGATCTCACTAATTTGCCCAGGCTGTCTTTGAACTCAGGCTGGAGATATGACTCAGTAGAATAGTGCTTGCCTGGCAAGCACAACGGCTTGAGTTCAATCCCCAGTTCCACCCAAAAAAAAAAAAAAAAAAAAAAAAGTTGTTTTTGAACTCATAATCCTATCTTAGTCTCTCTCTCTTTTTTTAGAAAAATATATTCCGCTGTTTATTTATTTATTACATTTATTTATTGTGTGTGTGTGTGTGGCCAGCTCAGCCCACCAGGGGGCGGGGCTGGCTGGCATGTGGTGCTGGGGGATCGAACTGTGGTCCCTGTGCTTTGCCAAGCTTGTTCCAAGTAGGTGCTTTAGACCACTGAGCCATCTCTCCAGCCCTATCTTAGTCTCTTGAATAGTTTGAGCTGTGCACTACCAGGTCCAGCATAAGGTTTTTATTTTCATCTAAGTTATACATGATACACATTAATTTTTTCTCCTCCCCCTCCCTCTCCCCTCCCCTCCTCCTCCCCTTATCCCCTCCTCTTTTTTTTTTTTGGCGGTACCAGGCATTAAACTCAGGTCCTTGCATGTGCCAGGCAAGCGCTTATTCTACTGAGGTATCTCCTCAGCCCTCATGATTCACTTTGAAAAGTCTAATGGTTCTACATGTATCCTCACATTCACACACACACACACACACACACACACACACACACACACCCTGTGCTGTGGATCGAACCCAGAGCTTTGCTAGGCATGTGCTCTGCCACAGAACTATATCCTGCTCCTGTTTTGTAGGTCCTATTACTTCAAACAGCTGTCTTCTTATCCCATCCCCACTACCTACTTCATCATTTCCTATCCTGGGAGCCAGCCACTGTAATTTAGATGATCCTTGTATTATTTCTGTCTGAAATTCATAAGTATAATGGTTCCTCTTGAGTGTTTGGTTTGGGCATTATCATTCAATAGGCTTAGCTGAAATCCCTTTTGACCAACAATTGAACCTATACCCTCCATCCTACACTTTCCCATATAGAGAATACAGATATAGAGTTTCTTTCTTCATACTGGAAACTGAACTCAGGGTCTTTGCACTGAGATACATCTCCAGCCCTTTTATTTATTTGTTTGTTGCTGTTATTTATTTTATTTTATTTTATTTTATTTTAGTACAGAGAACTGAACTCAGGCCCTTGCGCTTGCCAGGTAGGCACTTATGCCACTGAAGTATATCTCTGTCCTTTTATATTTTTATTGTGAGATATGAATAGGGTCTTGTTAAGTCACTAAAGTTTCCAGGCAGGGCTGTGCTTGAACTCAGGATCCTCCTGCCTCAGCCTTCCAGAGCGCTGGGATTATAAATTTGTTCCACTACACTGGATTTAGCTCTTACTTTACTCTGCCTACAATGCAGGGATGGGATAGTGGGAACAGTTTTGAAAACTGGAAAGTGAATGAACAGTCATGCAGCAGACTTAGAAAAGCTGAAGTTTAGGCCAGCAACAGGGAACACTCTGATTGTAGCACTGCCAAACGGCTCTGTATTGGAGACAACAGGAATTTTTTTTTTTTATTAAATTTTATGTATTTGGTACATATGCAGCCCAGAAATTGATGTGGCATGCGTTGCCAAGGATCAAACCCTGGTCCTTGCACTTGCCAGGCAGGCGCTTAGATCACTGAGCTATCTCTCTGGCCCAGCAACAGGCACTTCAGATGGAGCCCAAAGTAGGACTGATCCCTTACCCACTGTATAGTAGATGGGTGCTCTTCACCAACTTGGCTCACTGTCACTTTGTTCTCTGGAGAAGGTAGAGGTCTGTAGTATTTAGAGACATTGTCTTCTAACTGCCAGTGTTAAAGTTCAGGGGTCAGGAATATAGCGCAGTGGCACAGTGCCCACCTGGCAAGTGCAAAGTCCTGAGTTTGATTCTCACTACAAAAAAACCCAGTGTGTCCAGAAGTTCAATATCTTTTTTTTTTTTTTTTTTTTTATGTGGAACTGGGGATTGAACTCAGGTCCTTGTGCTTGCCAGGGAAGCTCTTATTCCACTGAGCCATCTCCCCGGCCCAG